TGGGGAAATGTTTAAGTGATAGAACTTGATAAATGTGCTGATTCATTCGGTGTTGTGTTATGTTTTGGTGCCAGTATTGTTTGTAAATACAAATACGTCATAAAAGCCGCGGGCTAGAGAGTCAAAATTTGCATGTTTTGACATGTTATAATTACATCCGCTATCATGAGTGCACACTCAGTAATGATGATAACTAAAAACCGCAAACTTTAGGTTAACCTGCTCACGATATAAATATTTGAATATCAATTGAGAAGCTTTTTGTGGTCTGTTGTTTTGCGAGGCCGAAAAACATAAAACTTGTTCAGTAGTGTGGCACAGCAGAGGTTAAAACACAAATATAACGGGTGTTTTGACAGATTATTGTAGCCTTTTAAGATGGTCAGTTTCGTATTTCAGCTCAGTGTTTCAGTTAGGATAGTTAATTAAACTTCATGTGACATTCCATGTTAAGGCACATTTACACGGGCGACTTTTGGTGCGATTTTTAACGCCATTTTCACGGCAACAGATTGCAGCTCTCGCGCTGCAAACAGCTGCAATTTCAGCGTCATTTGAGATTTTGCTAAAGTTTGTGATAATATGAGCAAAGGGTGTGTATCAGGGCATGTGCGCACGTCTTACAATCAAGCAAGGTGATATTTTCGTCATAAAAAGGCGATATCGATATTAGTTTCAATTGACCAGTGAATCGCATTGAACATTGCAGCTGGTTAAGGAGTTCATGCAACCCGGCGCGTCAAAACAAAAAATCAAACCATTCTAAGAGGACCTTAAACAGCATCATATAAGATAAGATAAGATAAGATAAGATGAGATAATAACTTTATTTTTCGGGACAATATTTGTGTTATTTCGTAACCTTGGCAAATATCGCTCTGATACATCAACAACAACAATGAATCAATCACGTAATATGATGGAGAATCGATCAGAAAAGGTATTACACTGACAAATATTGGAGAAATTGGAAGCACCAGTTTGCGAATTTAACAGTAAAGAATTCGTTCATGCTTAGCGTGCGTATATCGAGTTATTGATGCACGCGGGAAGTTTGGAGAGCACGAAAGAAGAGTAAGAGTTGCTAGAGGCGATAACCGAGAGCAATTCTAGCTTCTTGAGTGCTCTCCAAACTTCCTAAGTGCATCCATAACTCGAATACGCACAGCTAAAAGCATGAACCAATTCTTTTATGACATAGCGACAACATATTGGGCGCTAAAAAATGTTTTATTTGTGATCCTAATACGCCACAATCAGTTGAGCAACAGTTGAACGAAAACGCTTAACCTGGTTCCTAACTGATTGTCAATGAAAAATTCGCTTCTTCGAATTAACTATAATGAAAATGTAGGCAAACAAAGTCAAAAATGCTGAAAGAAAATGAAGACCAAGTTAAAATACTCAAGTTTAAGTAAAACATCTTAGCTTGGCAAAAGTCAAAGGCTCGAAGCAGGGTTTGGATTGTTCAAAATAATCTTCACATTGCCGAAACTTCAAAAGGAACTTGCATTAAACTCGACGGAAACTTTGCAGCTAAATTGAAAATGCACACGTCATGTTATGGGGGTGGCGAATGGTCCTTCAAAAACCGTGGGTCGCAAAATTTTCGCCGAATTTCACGGGTCTCACAGTCTTGTTTTTTAGCGGTTATGTGCGTCTCGCAGTCGCTATTTTTCTCACAAAGCTGTCTCGTAGTCTCGATTTTTTTCAAGGCTAAGAAAGTCGCGAAGTGCCGATTTGTTTATTTTTTTTTTTCTTAGTAAAGTTAAATGACATCACAACATCTTGAACCTGAACATCTTGAGTTCGCATTCAAAACACATTAAAGTCTCGGTCTCGCAATTGAAGAAATCAAAATGTCTTTGGCTCGCAAAGAAAAACGCTAATCCCGTCGTCTCGCAAAGTCTCGCATTTACCATTCGTAACCCCTTGTTATATACAGTACGCACAGTCGTGCGTATATAGAGATTTCGTTCATGATGGTTCAGTAGGAATTAGGAAGGACTAGCGCGCGCGCTATGTTATAATGTTGCTTTCAATATAAAAGCTCTGACTGAATCAAATGCGTGCTGAATTTACTGGAAAAGGTCCAAATGAACTTCTCTATCCCTGCTTCACAGCAACTAGGCGTTGACTTTCATTAAGTCGCGTGATGTAAAATAAAAACACTTTATAATTACTTGTTTAGAAATCAGTTAAGTATGTATATGGGCCTCACGGAATGCACGGAATGTAGAGTCTATTGACACTTAATTGCGATTAACATGAAGCGATTGACGTAAACCGGCCAAAGGAAACACCAACAACACAATGGAACTGTTCACAATCAATATTGGAACTACTTTGCATTCCAAAGTGACGTGTAGTACTTTCCTGGTCATGATACGCTTTCGAGTGATTTCTGTGTAGAACTAAAGAAATTTTTTAGTCTAATGCGTTTATTAATTTTTATTTATTTTTATTTTTACTGAGCTGCTGCTTTGATCACGAAAACAGGGAAATTGTACCATAGGGGAGACGTAGGACACTTACTCATTAACATTTGCAAGCTATACCGAGAGAAAATACCGCAAATTAGGGGTCGAAAACATATTTGCTTCAACTAAATACCGTGAGGGAAATAAATGAAGTTAAAAGCGCCTTCTCACTATAAAAAAAAATGTCTTGGACTTCAATTAAAGCATAAAATAGCGAAATAGCTCTATTAAAGAAACAGGAATTTCAAGTGAATGGCATTTGAAGGGTCTCGTCATATGCTGCCAATTCATTGGCTTCAGAGCAATGATAAAAAGATGCATAATAATAAAAAGATTCAAAATAATATGCTCAACCGCTTGACAGCTTTCCATTCCATCGTTTTATTTCACAGCAGTTTGCGTAAGAGAAGTGGCAGTTAATACACTATCATTATTTACTAAATTCGAATGCCAACGTCTCGTATGTTTATTTAAAAAGAAAGTTCAGAAACTAACCTTATTTAGTACATTTGATGTACGTTTTCATTTATGAAAGTAAGGGAGGTAGAAGGCCAAGATGAAAAAAACACCTAAATACCTTTTTCTGATGAGAGCTGACGTTCGCCCGCGTTCTTGATAAGCTCAACAATTAGTTCTGTCTTAAGTTCAGAACGATAACTTAGCATTGGAGGAATAAAGGGTATGCCCCGATTAAATTTAACAATGTTTTGAAATTTGACTGACCATCTGACTGACTTGACTGACCGACTGACTGACTGCATGACTGAA